TATTCTAAATCAAGGAATAGAGTAAATAGGTGTGGATCAGTACGACTTGCAATTGACTCCTAAATGATAAAGCACTTGTGGAGCCACCTATAAATAAAAAAAGGCATGTATTATTGCCATCCTAGCATCTATGAGCTAAAAATAAAATGTACCAAGCTACGTCAAACTGTTAAGCAAAGGACGTATTACAGAAGAAGAAGAAGAAGAAGAAGAAGATGAAGAAGAAGAAGAAGAAGAAGAAAAAGAAAAAAGAAAAAAAAAAAGAGAGAGAGAAAAAAAAGAAAAAAGGAAAAAAAGAAAGAAAGAAAGAAAGAAAAAAATTGTACATTCCATTTTTTCTTCAAATAAACGTAAAACAGCAAGAAGATAATGAATGTTGTGGAAAAATTACCATGGTAAAGATCAATACTACCATGGACTACTGAAGTGAGAAATTCTCAATAAGAAGTACTATACTAACACTAAATGTATGGACTGGGAGCCATTCACACTGTTCAGGGCCACTTGGGGGGCATGGCTCAAGTTGTAACAAGGGCCTGCAGATTTCCCCTCCAGCCTCTTCACACTGCAAGAACACAGCAGGGTGCTGAAGGCGAACAGGCACTTCCAGAGGATAAGTCGCCCCACTCCGAGCTCTGATGAAAAAGCAAACAATTTTTTTTTTTCAAAATGAAATGCATCTTTTCATGAATGCACAAAAGTAACAGTAAATTAGATAATTCTGAAGAGTATTTCCTCACGAGTAAATAATATGCATACCATAATATTACAATTTAGAGGATTTGTGTTTGATATATTTTATTCGAGTATTGAAGCCACAGAAATTATTTTACATTTTTTTTTCTTTACAGTTGTTACTTGCCATAGATAACCATGTTGTTATTTATATCTGACACAAATACAAACAGCAATTTTCAAAAAGCTTCAAAATGTACTTTAGTTCAAAGTGACTAGAAAGTTAAATTCTAAACAAAAATCTCATTAAAAGTGATGGCTACCTAATACCTTCACTCTCATTTATGAAAAATTAAAACAAACAAACCTGTGGTAACGAAAATGAACAGGAATGGTCATGTTCACCAGCCATCGTCCATCTTCCATATGTAAAGCCCGCTTGAAAAAGTATGCAAATACTCTTGGTGATTGGTGTTCTGGTGTCTCTACATTGATAACCTGTAGAGGACAAATACATATGCATTTACATTTAACCCATTAGTAATAATTGATGTGCTTTCATGTCAAGGCAAATAACAAGAGATGCCTTATCACATTAGTGGTATCCTTGCAATTAACTTTTTACTAATTGGATCATATTTGTTCCTAATGAAAAATAACACTATAGAAACCTAAGTAAAACTTAATAAATAATAGTAAAAAATAAAATTTGTTTCCATAAAACAGATAGACACAACTACATCAACACATACCTGTGGAACATGGAAGTCAGGTCCACCAAATGCTTTATTAAATCGAAGTTGATTTGGGTCAACATATGCCCCTGATGGGAAGATGTCTTTGATGAGAACTATGCACGACTGCAAGTCTTCTGGAGAGGAAATGAACACAGTTGTCTCAAGATCTCTGTAAGTGAAGAAAATAAAAAGTATAAAAAACACTGTTTTTTTTATAAGTATAATTTTATTCTCTCTATTTTAATGTGAATTCACATTTGAAATATAATATGAAACAGATATTACCATCCTATGATTAATCAAATAATTACAATAAAAAAAAGAGTCAGGAGATATTCTCGAACAATACTCCCCCAACATTCTCAGCATTTCATTTACCTATGGAAACCTTCATTGAGAAGTCTACGTTCCACTTGTGCATTGGTCTTCTGTACCATCGGACATGTTGATGCCAGAGAGGTTGATGCAAGTGTCACCACAAAGGCAACCAACTGGGAAATCATGTAGATGCAAGCCATTGTTGACTATGAGTGTATCATTTCTTCCTGCAAAAGATTTTGAAATAAAAGGTAAATTGTAACTAAATAAAGATTTTATCTTTCTCATAATTTATTTACTGAAAAATTTTCTGATGCATCAACATCTACGGTCATTATTGGTGTATTCAAAATACACAAAATACAGCATGAGGCTTGGGAGTAAAGCCTACAGGTAAGGAAGTGCTATATGACATAAAAGGTCATATGGTGCTATGGTAAAATAGAGTAGCAAAAATGATTAGGAATGAGTTCATGATTAGGGTAGAGTTACTGGTTGAACAGTACTAGAGGGTAGTATGGTAGTGAAAAGGGTACAGACAGGGAGCTGATGGGGCATAGCATTAGGTAAAGGTTATTAGAAGGGGAAGGAGGTAAGGGAGGTGGGAGCATTATGATAAAGTATTGTGACAAAAAGGGCAAAAAAGAGTTTAACAGTTAGGATAAGTGGACAGAACATGGTGATAAAAAAGAGGAAAAGGAAAAGAGAAGAAATGACCATGCACAATTAGTTGAGGCGAGGGCTGAGAACCAAGGTAGAGGTGATTCCCC